TGACTTGTCGACAAAGGAAATATTATTGCAATCGGACAACGCCATAATGATCGTGGTGTAGTGATAAGACAAATATTGTTTTTTTTAGCCCCGGTCATGTAGATTTTATTTATTTAAAACGGCAATGTATTTTTTTTTAATGACAAACAAATGATATAAAAATAAATAAATGTACTACACGTTCTTCATATTATTATATAATGCATATTATTATATCCATTATATAATAATCTTGCATATTATTATATAATGGATCGTACCTATCGTACCCAAGGTCGTTTGAAGGAGTTTTACAGCTACTGCAGCATCATATCTTGCAATTACCATTTGATTGCACAAATAAGCATTGGCTCAAAAAATGAAAAAATCTTGTGAAAAGTGTTGCCGTGGTATATTGACACTTTATATTGACTTCTGAACCATTAAAAATTTATTTGCTTGTATATAAGCAAATATATCTGTCAAATATATTTGATATTAGACAAATATATTAGTCTTTTTTTAAAATAAATAAAATACAATTTTTATCGTTTCTTAGGTCTTCTTATTTATTATGTTTAAGTATAGCGTGACATGTAAAATTTTTATTTGTCACAGGATATCATTTGTTCCTTTGAGATTAGCTGATTAACTGATATTTTTCATAATATTTGTGGCAAAATCCGCGACAACACAATATTGCCGAGAAAATATAAAAATAAATAAAAACTTTTAATTTTTAAAGAAACACCAAAATTAACTGCAATAGAAACTAACAAAGTTTATATAGAAGTATTAGAACTTCTTCCAACACTGAGTACTCTTGGTGAATCTAACTATGTTGTTAAACACAATTTGTTATGACAATACAAATTAAAGCAACGCAGCTCGCAGATTTTTTTTAAATCCGGAAACGAACGGAGAGATTAGATTTTACATTAATTTAAAAAGTTAAGATTACAGGGTTAGACGTCAAATTGATTTAAAAATTTAGTGTTTGATGAAGAAAGCTATCTTCTGGCCAAGAAATTAATTGTGGCGAACTTGAAAAACTTTGTTCCGAAACTAGAACTTAGTATCTAGATTTACAAAATCGGACAAAACAAGTGCAACCAAATAATGCTAATTTAGTTTCTTTATATAAAAGTGCTGCATTTTTTCAATTTAGAGAAATAGCTATATAACTATATAACCATTTTTTCACGCGATATTTATCACAAATACTTTTTTGTGACATTCCACTTGCGTAATCGCCAAAAATTTTCTTACTTAGTTCCAATCCAAGACTGTTGGGAGCCATTTTTGCACTTGAAGTCATAAAAATAATAAAAGTAAATAATCATGCTTCTGAAGGCTTACCGTGTTACATTTACCTTGTGATGATTCAATAATGCTCTGTGGAACACAACGTCTTGGTTTGATATTGACTGTACTGATGTAATGAAACACTTGTTGTATTTCACTTCTTGAATTGATATTCTTCGATAAAATACTTTGATAAAACTCTCTTCAACTGTCTTGATAATACTGACTGATTGACTTCCATATTCTGAATAAATTACATGTCGGTTTACATGTCTCTTATATAGTAAAATGAACCTGTGTGAAGCTGTTCTGGAAGATTCTAGATGCTTCTTTTCGATGCTTCTGGAATCTTCTGGATGCGTCTGGATGCTTCTCAATGTTTCTGGATACTTCTGGAAACTTCTGGAAGCTTTTGCGTGCTTCTGGAAACTTCTGGAAACTTGCTCATGTCATGGCATGCCATGACTCCAGACTCCTGAACTGATTGCTGTGGTAGTATAGTTCGTTTCGTTTTTAAGACATGTAAAATTAGGAACAGTTTTTAGCATTATTTGATGTTGATTGCAAATGTTTTGTCCAATGCTGTATATTTGTGGTACTACATGCCTGTTATAGCGCACAAAGATTTAATGAAACCATAAAGTTGTGTATTTTTCAAACTGAACAGCTCTTCAAAGAATCTCAAGAAGCACAAAATAAAAATGGTTAAAGATTCCAAGAAAATCATACAAGGAAACAGTCACGTGTTTCTGCAAATATAGGTTTGCTAAATATTCTTCTAATAACCTTTGAACATATTATCAAAGTAGAGGTTTTGCACTTGATTGCCTCTCCTGAAACAAAAGCAAACTTTTTTTAAACGAACCATTTAAATCAAATCAAGTTAAATGTATTCTAAAACAGATTTTACATTTCAAGGAATATTTACATTTTTTTTTTTTAGTTGATTAAGGTGCCCCAAGAAGTCCTTACGGTCTTATCACATAGCACCGCGGAAGAGCATTTAATAGAAAGTTCACGCGTGGGGTTTGAACCACGGATCTTACGTTTCTGAGGCAAGTGCACTACCAATGCGCCACTTTAAATATAGTACAATTAGTACGAGTACTAATTTTATGTAAAAACCTAATGAAAAACTAAAATACAAAAATACAATATATAAACAGAAAATTTTATGTGATAATAATAGAATAAGAAGTAATTGTAGAATAAGAAATAATATTAGAATAAAAAGTTAATGTTTCAAATGGTAAATCTTCTAAAGATTCAAGAGATAAGTGTTCTGAGTATTCAAATCGTAAGTTTTCTGTTGACTAATTTTTTTTTGTATAGCTTTATTTATACTTGTTTTTAAATATAGTTTTTATGTCGTAACTAATTTTCTTTTTTATTAATACCTTTTTAACTTCTAAGTTGTATAATTACCGGTGGTAGTTTTTTTTGTTATTAATTTCCTCGTAACTTCAAAGTTAAATTATTACCGGTGGTAATTATTCAATAAAACAAAAATAAATAATTTGACCAGAATAATTGCATAGAAAAACAAAAAAAAATTTCATCCAGCAAACTTGTATTAAAAACTTAACTGTATGACAACTTGTATTAGAAACTTAACTGTATTTGAAAAGGGATTCGACTCTGCTTATCATCTTCTCTCGAATGCCCCATGCCGTTTTACAATCGATTTTCATTATTTGATTAATATCCTATAAATTTAAACCAAAATTTTAGTTTATTCTTAAAAAAATTCCTCAAAATAATAAAAAAAATTTAAGCGCTAACAAACTTTTGTTGTCGTAATAACACGTGTACACCTTTTTTTAAAAAAAAAAAACTATGGTCATGTGGTAAAATCGTGCATAAAACACACAAAATCGTGCCTAAACACACAAAAAAGATTATAATAGTTGTACTCCTTTGTTGTTTGTTTAAAATTTTAACAGTTTTAAGAAAAATGTGAGTAAACAGATAAGGTAAAAAAAAAAAAAAATACTGAATCCAAATTATTTATTCGATTTATTGAGCCCAATATGCAAAATTGATGGGGAGATTTCTTTATAAATTAATAACTTTTTTTTCATTCAAATCCATATGGACTTAAAATGCGTGATACATAATAAAAAAAAAAAATAATAAAAAAACTACGTTTTTATTAAAGTGAACCTCGCCATAGGTTCATCCAATATAAAATTATTTTTATGTCAAAATATTTTTCTCCAAGTTTACATTACTTGATTAGTTGTTAATGTTTTGTCTTGAATTTCTGTTGTGTAAACAATTTTTAATCCTAAAAAAATATTTGAAAACATCAGATATTAATAGCAATAACTATCAACTGATGTTTATACTTTTTTATTTGTCTTTTAAATTTGTTTAACACAGGATCAGGTTTTAGCACAAAATCTTTTGTTATGAAAGTGAAAGAAACATTGTGGTTTACTATTTAATATATATATATATATATATATATATATATATATATATATATATATATATATATATATATATATATATATATATATATATATATATATATATATATATATATATATATATTTATATATATATATATATATATATATATATATATATATATATATATATATATATATATATATATATATATATATATAATATATATATATATATATGTATATATATATATATATATATATATATATATATATATATATATATATATATGTATATATATACATATATATATATATATATATATATATATATATATATATATATATATATATATATATATATATATATATATATATATATATATATATATATATATATGTATGTATGTATGCATATATGTATGTATGTATGTATGTATGTATGTATGTATGTATGTATGTATGTATGTATGTATGTATGTATGTATGTATGTATATATATATATATATATATATATATATATATATATATATATATATATATATATATATATATATATATATATATATATATATATATATATGTATACTCAACCTTTATTCATATATTTTATATTTTTTCAATTATTTTTATTATAGATTATATATTTATAAGTTAAAGAGAGAAAAATGCGTAAACTATTAACATAAAGCACAAACTCGAATATAATACGTGAAGCTTTAATGAATTTTTTATCTATTATAAATAAGCATTTTATTATACAAATTACTTTATAGTTTGACTATATAAACTATGTTCACTTAATAATTTAATTATACAAACTATGTTCACTTATAATTTAATTATAAGTAAGGCTAAGTTGATAATTTCTGAAAAATATGTTAATTTGATAGTTTATTATTTAAGTTGTTTATGCGTTAAAGTTACTATTTAATTATAGTTTATTTATAGTTGAATTTATTTATAGCTATAACTATATAGTTGTTATTAATAATCGTTTATTAATTTTATTCATTATCGTTTATTAAAGTTATTAATTTATAGCTACAACTATATAGTTGTTATTAATAATCGTTTAACTATCAAGAAGCAGTTTTAAAAAAAGTCTGCGTTTCAATTTTTAGAACTACCGTTAATGCAGTTATAACTTTTCAGAAAACAGCTGAACACTTAATGTTAAAAATGAAAAAAGAAAAGAGTTTTCTTTTTTCATTTTTTTTTTTATACTTTATACTTAAAAATTATTTTTAAATTAACATTGAAGTTGTTATTATTTCTTAAAATCTAATCCTTCATAATCATATTATTTTTATAAAAACTTCATTATTAGTAATTTTAATAAAATGTCAAGGAATTTTGCACTCTGTTCACTATTTACATCTTTTATAACAATTTTATCGATTTCGACAGCAATTGGTGATCATAGCAAATGCTCTGAAGTTCCGATAGAATTGAGTGATACAGAAAATTCATCCGTGATTATAGGTGGAATGTTTCCAGTACATTATTGGGATGAAAAAAGTAAAACGTACGCATTAAACAAACCAGGACTTTTATGGGTTGAAGCCATGATATTTGCAATTAATGAAGTAAACAACAGAATTGACTATTTACCAAAAACAAAATTAGGATATCGCATACAAGACAGCTGTAACGATATAAATATTGCCATCGAATCCGCATTAGAACTAACCCAAGGCTTTGTTCCGTACAAAGAAGTACATAATAACTATATATGTCCGTGTAATTACAATACAACAAAAGCAATTGCATTAGTTGGAGATGCAGCTTCTGCAACTTCAACAAACATAGCAGCTATTTTATCTTCAAGTGGAACTACTCAAATAAGCTACTCAGCCACATCTACTGATCTCAACGCAAAGCAGTTATTTCCGACATTTTTAAGAACAGTAGCTCCTGATAATCTTCAAGCGGGTTTAATAGTTGATTTATTAGTGCACAATAACTGGACATACGTTAATGTAATAGCATGCGATGACGACTATGGTAGAGTTGGTTTTAATGAAATTTTACCCATATTAAAAGAGAAAAACGTGTGTATTTTTATTCAAGAGATTTATGATGTAAAAGGTGATTCGAGTGGAAACATAACAAAAAGAGTTGTTGAAAGACTTAATATAGAGAAACAAGCAAACGTTATTATTCTTTGGTGCCAGCGACCTGAAGCAATCCAATTTTTAAGAGTAGCAGAGCAAATGCACTTGCACAATAAAACATGGATAGCTACAGAAACATATGGTTCTAGTGAAGAAGTTTATAAAATAGACCCTAATGTTGTTAGAGGAATGTTTGGAGTAATTCCAATGCAAGTAAGATACGAGCCATTTGAAACCATGTTAAAATCTATGACTCCAGATTTGGTGTACAAAAATCCATGGATTAACGAATACTGGAAAGAAAAAAACTGTGAAGCCAAAAACACAACAACTTGCAAAAAAATTAATTTGAGTGACCTACCTAAGAGCAAATACGTAGAAGTTTTTCATGCTGTCCAATCAATTGCTTTCGGACTGCATGCTTATATTAAATCAGAAAATCCACATACTATTGAAACTAAAAAACTTTTTTCATATATTAAAAATGTAAATTTTTCGGGTATAAATAATTTATCAGTTTCATTTGATGCAAATGGAAACCCCAGGGATGCAGGTTACTCTATAACTAACTTGAAAGTAGATCACCGTTCTAATTCAACTTGGAAAGTAATTGGTTTTTGGACTAAATCGTCAGGTAAAATAGTTTTTACTTCCAATAATCAAATAAATTTTGCAGGAGGTTTATTAGAACCACCTGTTTCATCTTGCAGAGAAATATGCAAACCTGGTTATTTTCAACATTCCTTTGAAAATGCATGTTGCTGGCAGTGTGTAAGATGCGGAAAAAACAGTGTTCAATCAAAATATGGACAGAGTAGTTGTAAAATTTGCCCTGATGACAAAATAGTAAATACTGAAAAAACATTATGTGTCTCGCCTAAACAAATTTTTATAAAACCTGATAGCGAAGAAGGTATTTTCTTACTTATTTGTTCAACCATTGTATTTTTATTTGTAGTATACGTTGTGTACATATTTTATAAATATGGAGAAACACCAATTGTAAAAGCGTCAAACAAAAACTTGTCTTTACTGCAACTTGGAAGTATTATTTGCATGCTAATTCTGCCATTTCTCTATTTTCAAACAGAAAATACGAAATACAGGTGCGGAGGCCGTCTAATTTATTTTGTTTGCTTTAGTTCTATAACTATTTCTGTTACGTTTACAAAGGCTGATCGATTATTACGGATATTCAACAACAGCAAATCAGGTTGTTTGACAAAAAACAGTATTTTAAAAACAAATAAAGTGCAGTTTATGACAGTTGCAGCTCTAACTTTATTAGGTATTTTAATATGTATTGTTTCTTACTTTGCTTTTCCTATTGAAGTCTGTGATAAAAAAAAGATAAAAGAAGAAGAAGAACCGCGAACTGTTTGCTACTGCGCCGGTTCCTACGACTCCATTCTTTTTTTAGCAATCGGATATGTAGCTGTAATAGCACTAATTTGCGGTGTATATGCATTTAAAGCACGAAACTTACCTGAAACTTATAATGAAGCAAGATTAACAAGCTTTGCAATGTTTATATTTTTATTATCGTGGCTGATGTTTGTTCCTATATACTTAAGCACAAAAGATCAACAACAAAAACTTTCAGTATGGTGTTTTATGTGTTTTTCATCTACAACATGTTTTGCTTTTATCATGTATTCACCAAAAATATATTTTATTTTCTTTAAAACGGAGGAGAATACAAAAGATAGGTTTAGAGCTAAGATTCACCAACCAAAATCTACATTTAACGCATCAACAAATGAATTTGAAATTCAAGAAAACTAAATTTTTAAAATTGAATAGTAACCTAAATAGCTAGAGAGAATCAAACATTTGTTTAAATAAAAAATGTAGAGAAATAGTTAAATTAAAAGTCAATTAATTAATAATTAGTTTTATTAAAGCTGAAAGCAAAGTTGATAAATGGGTTGAACCTTTTCGCCCCCCCCCCTCTTCTTACGCAGAAGTCGGCGGCTGCCTCCTAATAAACCTCTAGGAGCAGAATTTTATTTCTTCCGCCTCTAGTGGCTTCCGCCTTTCTAATAGCGGCCACAGCCAGAGTTTTTTTGCAGGTAAAATGTTTTAGTGGCAGACGCTAACAAAGAGGCAGTAGCTATTTATGGCCGTCTCTAAATAAAATTATTCGGAGGAATAATCATTCGGAGGCCGCCACCAGCGGATTCTGACTCTCAGCTGGCTGCACCCGCAAAATTTGAGGCGGAATTATTTGCCTTCCTCCAGCGGATGTAACGAAAAATAGTTTCATTTGTTTTTAAGTTTACGAGCAATTTAAATATTAATTATTGTTATTTGAAATAAATAAAAACTTGAAATCAAGCTACCATTCAAAAAACTGTGACTTTTTTAGTTAAAATAATAATTTTATCGGAGTGGTTGTTTTTCAAATAAATGCAAATAAAATTAAATGAAATCCAAAAAAATTTTAAATTTAGTAGGTTTAAAACAAATGTCAAAAATTAGAAAATTTATTTTTATATCATTAGTGAAAAAATCATTTTGAAAAAAAAATTTATAATTTCTCGCAAAAAGTGTGGAGGAAAACTCCACACTTTCCGCGAGAATTAATTTGTCAATATGCCATCATAGGAAGAAGTCATCATTTTCATTTAAATAAGCTATGTCTGCCTTGTTAAAATAATAATATCAGCAAATTTGATGCGGAAAAGTTTTGTAACATTGAATTGAAAAATATTTTACTTAAATTTACGGCTGTAAAAATTCCATAGTAAAATTTCCGCTCGTAGAATTTTACGCCGGTAAAAAGTTTTATAACATTGACCCCTGAAGAGATAATATGAGATTTTTGTTTCATCTCACTCTCACCCTATTTTTTGCGGAAAAGGGACATTTTCTATTAATCAGGTTTCAGAAATACCCAACATCAGCAATGCGAGGTGGAACTCCAGAGCTATACTAGCGATCCTGGCCTTCATTTTAATTCCTTCAACAAGGACAGTTCTGCAAAGAGTATATCAATTTATATCGTATGGCTGGGCAAACCATTGGTTTACAGACCAACTATACAACAAAAATGACTTTAATAACTTGGCTAAAAATATTTCATCACATTAGATTTTCTGTGAGAGGACTTTAAATCAGTGACTAAAGTCCACCAGAATTCAGTAAGTAATGAAATGAAAGTTTTCATTTATAACAACAATATATCTCACTGATTTCTTGATGAAATTGTTTACCATGCTCATCAGATACATCAGACACGTTATTAGCGAAAAAATTCATATGAGAATCCATAAATTGAAGTTTGAGTGACATATTGCAGCCTAAGACTTCATAAAGTGAAGTTTGAGTGACATATTGCAGCCTAAGACTTCATAGCTCTTTATCATATTCTCTATTAGAGATTCAAATATACAGTTTTATGTCGTTCAAAAAACATTTCGAAAAAATAGCCATACTGCTTTTTGAATTGATGTCAGAGTATCATTAAAATGCTGATTGAGTAGCAACTGTCTTAACTGTGGTCCGATGAAAACACCTTCTGTTACTTTTGCAGAACACAATTTGGGGAATTTTATCTTTATAAAGTATATTTTATCACAATATTTTTCAAGTATTTTACAAACTGTTTGATGAGGCCTTATTTTGTAAGGTGGCAATATAATTTTGTTTGGTAAAACAGGTGGAGGATTCGCCACATTTTTAATCCAAAAGTAAAAGTACCTCGCTTAGGCCGTAATTTCTCTTTGCAAAGGTTTTGAATTGCTCGTGAATACCAAAGGTAGATGAAACAACAGAACTTAATGTATTCTGATTGCAGTCCAGTTAAGATTAGTGAACGTTTACAATAAAGTGATATTCTATCACCTTTTTGTATTTTTTTTCTTTTAATCCTGATGCTGGCAGTTCACTAAGATCTTTAGTCAGCTTCAGATCTTGGATTAAATCACTTAATTTAAGTCGTGAAAACAATCAAGGTTTGTCATCATTTAAATCCTATACTGATGAAAGAAAGTTGTTGCCTTTCTGTACAATGCATAGATCGTCATCTGTTTCTTTGGCGTATGTGTATATTTCTTCAAGCTTTTTAATCAGGTTTCTTGGTTACGGAGATTGAATCTGAATGTAGTATTAGACGAGAAGCGGATTAAATATGATACATTTCTAGTTTTAATGGCAGTAAAAGAAAGATTAACGCAGCAAAAATAACAGTCAATGAAACGATTTTGTGGCTCACGCCAGATCATAGAAATACCAAATGACATGGAGTAGACAGTATTTAACTATTTGCTTAGTCGTAAAGAACAGCTAGTCTAACAATATTATAGTGCCCAAGTAACCACTTCTTGTTTTTTATCAAAATAAACAGCATGCAGCTTTTGAATATGTTCATTAATTGTACGTTGCTTCTTTTAAACAGAATATTCGCCACATATATATAAAAAACTTTTTTCTTTCATTTTTACAGCTGCAACGAAAAATATAACAATCTATAACAAACAAGGTACACAATCACATTAACCACATGCAATTTAATTTAAATTCTAAATTAAAATTTCATTTTTTAAATTGTTAGTTCATTGTTGTAATTGTAAAAAAATATTTCAAACAGAAATTACATGTTAACAGATGGAGAGGGAAGGAGGGAGAACGGCAGTTTGGTAAATGAGAGATAAAAACTGGGCTAGTTATATTGGCATTCATTAAAAAGTAAAATCAAGGCAGGTGAGAAAGTAGGCAGATACAGATAGTAATTAAAAAAAAACACGAAGTGGCTACCACTAAAAAACCACTCGTTCACAAAATAAAAATAAGTGCATTTTCTAAAACTTCATAAAATTTTACGTTAGATACATGCATTGCATTGCATGTAAAATAGTGTTAACAAGTTCTGTATCATTTATCACAAAACACAAACCCCCTCATCTTAGAGCGTGATGTAATTTATGGATGACCCTGTATGGAATTCATTAAAACATCGTGTCTATGAAAGTTGAATTTTTTTTTACATTGTTGAATTTTCTCTTTTTTTTTCTTTCTTTGTTTTGTAGTTTATTTTGAGTTGCTTTTAAGTTTAAAAAATCTTTCAAAAATTTAATATTTAAAATTAAATATTATTAGATAATTTATATATCAGTTTGCATAAAAGAGCGATGACGGCCTTTTTCTAAAAACGTTTGTACTTGCATTATTTAAACTATTTAAATGTTATTAATGCATTTCTTAGTTTCAAACTTTTAAAAATGATTTAAAAAAAGTTTTATTTGTAGTTTTCATATAAGTTTTTCCTATGATTTACGTTTATGTCTTAAAAACGGAAATTATTTGGTGCGGAAGAGAAACGCCTTAGACTACTAAAAGAAAGAGGGAAGATAAAAATCGCACTTGTTTCTATGCAAGAACTGTGTTTTTTCAACTTCTCTAAGCACTGCCTCTATTAGAGGTAGTGCAAAGAGAAGTCGGTAATAAAAGTCAGAAATAAAAAAGTAATAAATTGGTAATAAATTCTAAATTGGATGAAAGTCTATTACTTGTAAACCACTCGTTGATTTTGAATAGTTCTTTATTAAATATATTAAAAAGAACTTTTATGTCTTTGCTGGAATGAGAAAAATTGCAGTTGCCGTTATTATTTTTATTGTATTTTCAAAACTTTTTAATACATATCACTAAAGTAAAAAAATATTTTATGTAATGTTACTACAGTTATAACAAACCATTTTAAAATCTAGTTTGAAACTAAGAAATGCATTAATAACATTGAAATAAGTTTGACTTTTATAAAAATTTACTTTGTTTTGAAGATTACCTGGCAAACAGGTCGACATAAATTGCTCA